AAATCCTGGCTCCAAAAGAGAAAGACGACTCATAACACAAATGTCCCTGAAATCCTTGGCTGAAAATGTAGAACATGAACAATACTCTGGCTCATGACTGTGGAAAAAACTGTTCTTCATTTAAAATGTTTGTCATCAATGTAATCCCATCTTTAATTATAATTAATGTAAGGGGCTTTTATGTGCTGGAATTGTAATACATGGCCAAGAGTTCAGCTTTTACAAAGGCACACATTTCTGAATTACAGTGGAGATTGTTCTTAAAATAAAGCAAAGAATAATGTATAAAGCTGTCAGAGATACAATGAACTGAAGACATTATAGCAGCTATAACTTAAAGTACTGACAGTCAGGAAGTATTCTATGAATGACTTTTAGAAAGACATGGGCTTTTCCCTCTTTCTTTTCCAAACTTTAATCCAAAGTGTTGTTTAGATTTGTAGCTAGCACCATTTAATTTGCCAAGAAAAGGTTCATCTCGATCTTAACCACATAGAGTGCCAGGCTGCTTGACCAGTTGCTAAAAGAGACTAGCCAGCATTACAGTATGTCCTCATAGAATTAAAATGCAGCGGACATAGAGGCCCAGGCACCCAAAATTATTTAAGATCTCCAGGTCCTGCTAGTGCTACTGTTTGCCTCCATATTTTCTCATTCTTTATGCCAGCTATGCATCTGGATTATGCCATGGCTGTGCTCACAGTTGAAGAAGAAGATAAAAACCTACTTCTATATAGCAAACACAGATTCACTTTGAAGTCCTTTCACCAGCAGTAACCATTGAGGAAAGCTTCCTCTCATTTTGCATGCAATGCAAGTGTGACTGCACAGCTGTGGAACTCACCATTTGGTCTAGGGCTGTGACTGCTCACACTCACTGCCAGTGTGTATCAGTTGAAGCTGATGCTAAACTATACTAACTTTGGCTTTGCCAAGGGTCCCTGTGGTTGGGCTGCAGCCTGTTTCAGTATACTTCAAAATATAGCATTTGCCATATTACATATCTTACAGTCGTGCAAGGGAACTGTGTATACTTAGGCAGTGGTTAGAGAAGATTGTTATGCTGTATGAAATTGCTATATCTAGCTAAAAAGACTGTGTGACTATGAATTTTAGACATTGCTGATGCTAGAGTGAATTTTGCTGGTTTATATAGCTGTGACACAAAATACCACAGTAAATGAGAAATAAAGAATATTTCCTCATAGATAAGTTGAATTTTAAAACATAGGTCAGAAATCTGAAATATTAGAAAAAGCCCTCACAGAATCATGCAACTTAGCATGACAAAAGAAGGCTTTGACACACTGATCTCTTTTGTATGCACAGCTAAAATCATAGAATCATAGAATCAACCTGGTTGAAAGAGACCTCAGAGATCATCGAGTCCAACCCTCCTGTGGTTACTAGAACATGGCACTAAGTGCCACATCCAGTGTGTGACTGTAGTAGGATGTAACCACTATCTGAGTTTAATCAATTTTAGCACAAGCAACAGTGATGACGTAGTGACACTGGCTGCAAGACATATTTGTCTACAGCAGCAGCCAGAGACAAATGCTTCAAGTGATCTGCATAAACAAATTTTAGCAACAATCTGGATGTTGGCATGCTGAAACCTACATAGTTGTAACTGCACTCTGCTTATCCATGTCAGCTAGCATAGAAATGAAATCATGGGATTCTTGATTCTGTGTTTATATATACTTAATGGAGCACATAATTTATCTCACCAAACTTTATCTGTCTAAAGTGTGGGCATTTACTTGAAGGCACTCTGTTAACCTCTTATATACATTCTAGTTTTCATAGATTTCTACTGAAATGAGCTGCTTGTCTTTTCTTTGGGCACACGAATAAACCTCAAACCATTCTGCTTCAAGAAATTATTCTCATTTAAACAAATCCATCACATAATGCTAAGCGACCTTGGAAAATACAGCATCTTGCTTTATTATCCTTTGGGTATTAGAATACTCAGCAGAAGTATGAATTCCCATCTTTGTGCTGCATTTGTAGAAACTGAGCAAACCAGAGTTTCAGAGAACATTGGCAATAATGGCCCCCAATATAGACAGACTGATCTGGTTGCTAGCCAAAAACCTTTTCATCTCCAATTGAAATGGTAGCTTCTCACTAATTATCTAAAATAAGGGTAGGGTCTTAGAAAACACATTGGTTGCTTCTGAATAAAATGAGTTATCCAAGTCACCAACTGACTTGAGAACAGAAACGTGATAGCATCTTCCTATTCCACTCAGGCATATAACACTAAATGAATGAGCCATTAGAAAATATAGCAGGAAACATGAATTTCATTTATGATAAACCTGCAAAGTATTTTTATAAATATGCAAAAATAAGCATGCATGTAACTAAGCACAAATAGATACAAGGTGGACATGCTCATCATATAAACTGTAACGTATAATTCCCACAGGATTCTTAGGATCACTTTTAAAACATTATAAAGAATGTAGAATAAAAGCTACAGTGAAATTACTTGACTTACAGATTTACTTAAAATTGATATGTGCGTCTAATGAGTTTTCACTGGTCCCTAGTATGTGCTCAGCATCTAGCAGACACACTCAGCAAGACTGCAAGAAGCTATGATCTCTCTAAGTGTTTGCAAAAGTGTCTATGAGTGTTTTGAAAAGGAATCCAGCTTTATTGATGAGATTCCTACAACTGAAAATATCCCAAATATCCAAGAACTTTGTTGAATACATAAAGTATTTCTGGAATTTGCATTTTTACATATAAGAAAGATAAACAAGATGAACTGCTGTTGACTAAACTATCTTTTTCTTACAAAGCAATGTTTTAACATGGGAATTTACTATTAGCTGATTCCATTGAGTGATTCACAATGTAGAATCTGCCACTTTTGAAGACCCAAAGTTGCAGTCATTTCCTATTCTGTTGACAGAGACTTTGCTTTTTAAACATTTTCGAAGATGTCTTGGAAATTTGTCTCAGTATCAAGGGTATTTCAGCAGGGATGTTATTGATTAATTTTATCAACTGATGATTTTCAAGCATCTAAATCTAGACATTCTGTAGTGTAAATCAACAGAATTTCCAAAAATATTATCTCCCACTATAGCTGCAGCATTACATGCCTCTCAGCTTACCAATAGTGACTGAGATCAATGGGAAAAAAAATAAATCTAAGTCTCCAAGCTAGTCATGTAGAGATTTTATAAATACAATTGTTTGTTACAGATAAATGAAACATAATACTATTAGGACTGCTACAGATAATATCTAGTCACCCTAGACTGAGGCTGAGGGTAAAGGTGTCTTCTTCATAGACATCAACAGACAAAGTTGCCATGAGGCTCGTACACCTTTCACAGACTTCTGTACATGGGAACATGGTAACAATGAGGCAATTACAGAATTTCAGAATGCAGACCCAGAGAGCTTTCCAAATATTTTGCAGTACCATTCCCAAGGAAATTCTGCAAATGGGAAAAAAGACCTATAGAACATGAACACACACTGCAGTTATATTTTCAAAAAGGAAAAAATCATTAATTAATTTTAACCTATGTATGAGACTATTGTTTTCATGAATATATGCACATATAATTTCACTACAATATTTTTGATGTTATATGTTGACTCTTACAATGACGTATACACCAACCTGTGGATTTTGTTTCTTAAAACATTCCACATGCTGAATGGGCTTTACACCACTTGTCTACCCTTTCACAAACAGTTAAGTGATCCTTAAAGACTCTTTGGTCTGCTTATTTTTCTTAATCAGCATTGCCTCTGTAAGGATGCCATTTAGCCAAAACTAATCCAAGATTTCACGGCACTTGAGTGACCATCTTTAAAAAGAAGGCAAAAAGAGGTCTTCACTTCCCTTCAGTGCCTCTGAATAGACTTGCAGCAGTCTTTATCAGGCAGAGAATGCCAACACAGACAGGAAGTAATTTAGCATTATGTCATAAGCCTGAAACCTTTCCGTGTTCTCTTTTTTGAACTGCATACTGATGAACCAAAGCATGTATTGCAGTTTAAACTTTGGGGGGGAGGGGGTTGTACTTCTTTTTTCTTTTGTACACTAATTATTTAATGAACCATATTATGCTCCTTGGAATTATATTTTCATCAATACCTTTCTTACTATTTCTGATCTAGCAGGAACACATTTAGCTATGGGATGTGACTCACCCCAAACAGGCATTTGTAAAAATAAGAACAAATGTACATATAATGAAAGAGAGAAAAAGCATAAACAGCCCAATTTTGCATATTCCATTTGATCTCTCATCAGGCTCTGAGACAAAATTATTCTGTCAAGACCATATAAATATGAAGCAACCCAGAATTTAATTAAACCAGGCTAGGTTGAACCCTAGTAAAAGGTCACACTGAACAAAACTTTATCTATGACAATTACTGACCTGCTACTCCAAGAACTTGTGATATAAATGATCATAAAAACTACAAAGAGTCACCCAAGGAGGTTCACCACTCTCTCTAACAACTGCTGAGTAAGTCTGGTAGTTCTTGAAAATTACTGATGCAGGTGATTATCAGAAAAAATTCAATATTATTATGAGGATCAGCACAGCCTTCCTGTAGCATCAGACAATTGGCTTCAGTTAAAGTTCCAAGATTATCCTTTTGAATAGAAAAAAAAAGATTTTCTTTCAGCTTAAAGTCATGTTAACTCTCATGTTCCAAGGTCCTTGAATCTCAAAATGATCTGGACCACATAAATGGTTCCTAGCTTTATGAACAATACATATTTTACTAAGAAATTCTTCTTGTCATGTTACCAGCATTTTCTGCTTTTCTTTCCTTCACAGTTGTCTTTCATAGCAACACAAACAGCACACTGAGGGCAGAGGTCATTTTCTCCTTTATTCTGGCCATTCGATTAGTAGCAAGAGATAAGTATTACATTAAGGAAGGGAAGCTGCTGACAGGCCTTGGAAAATTGTTTCATTGGCAAGGAATTTCTCCACTCAACCTACCTTCTCTTGATTCTGGCAGAGAAGACAATCACATTCAAAGCAATACTGGCGCACCAGTTGCTTTTGGCGTTCACTGGTGGGCATCAGTGATTCTATGTAGCTGATGGTGAGCTGTAGGCAGTATATAAAAAACAAGAGTTGGTATATTTTACAAAAACTCTATATTCAGTATATGTACAGCTAAGGTAACAGTTTTTGGATACAAAACTCTTTTCCAGCACAAAATAAAATGTTAACAGATCAAAAATAATTTCCATGGAAATTTATATACATTTTAAGATCAATATACACATTTTACAATATACACATTTACATTTCAGACAATATCGATCTTATACACATTTTAAGATCAATATTGTCTGAAATCATTAATCCCCCCAAATTATCAATATCACAACTTTTCTTCCTAATTTGGAATAAAAAGAAAAAAGAAAGGAGAGCAAAAAAGAAGAGCGAAGAAACACAGTATCTGAATTCCCTGTGCATGAATTCTCATTTTCTGTCTAGCCCCAAAGCTTAGGTGTGTATTTACCACTGCTGTTATACAACATCCAACTATCTCCAAAAATTTTATCTCAGGGAAGCACCTACTCTCTTGGAAATACATGTTTGAGCCTGAGGAAAGTTCCTCTTATGTCATACGCATGTTCAGTATCTCTGTGAAGTTTCCCTTGTGACCAAGGAATCACAAAAGCATTGCAGTCTAAGTTGTTGAAACTATTGACAAGAAGATTTGTTAACATGAGAAAAGAAAATTTGTGCTTACATTTGTGCCATTCTCAACTCCTCATGCTGTACAGAGTGAATTCCAACAAACTACAGAGGTCTGTAGTTTGTTCACTTTGATGCCTGCCAGAAGAAATTTTACAGGGCTAACCATTTGTAGAGTTCTTGAAATGTTTAAAGTGCTGCACAGGCACAAAATAATGATAAGGGAAAGAATATAAGAAAAAAAACAGCCCAGCTCAGACCAGCATGCAGTCACACATGCTATTGAGTGATTACACTATACGCCCAACACACTTTGAAAGACTCCAGAGGGGTCAGAGCTAAAAAAAAATCAGGTCACATTATTTCATCCTGAGCCTAGACACTTCAACTAATTGGGAGAATTTTCCGTTGGTTCTCAGTTAAATCATGAGAGTCCACTCAAAGAAATTACAGGAAAGCCTGACCAATTTGTATTAATGACTCTGAAATCCATTGTCAGAACCTACATTTTGCAAATTAGTGAGCATTCTAATTGAATGAGCAATTAACAAGAAACTAAAACAATGCCTGCATTTTTTTCATTTATTATCACAGTATAATTTGATTACATATTGAAGGAAGACTGTGTTAAAAGAAGTCTACTGAGATGGCAAAGTCAAGCATTTAAAATTATCATAAGCAGAAAGCCTGCAGAAAAAATAAATATGCTCTCATAATTGAAGATTAATAGTATAATTAATGAAAGAGACAAATTAAAGTTCCACAATTAATCAAAAGTTACAAAGTGTGAGAACTTTTTTGGGTTTTGCATTCTATATAATGTTATTCTTTCCCAGCTTGTGCATGTTCAAGCCAAGGGAGGAATAGTTTCAACACTATTGGCTTAGAGCAGAAGAGTCTGTACTAATAATTTACACAGGAGCCATAGGCTTCTTGCTAAGGTTTCTGCAGTGAATGGATGGAAATTGTGCTGCCTATTTATTTTCTTCTCTTGTCTCTCGAGCTTGGTCTCTTCTGCCCCATTATCTCCAGTGGTCTTCTTATTCTTTCTCTTCCCTATTTCTCCACATGAGTATCATTTTCCAGTCTTCTTCTCCACACCTGGTTATCTAAACCTGGTTTCCAGCCCTCAATTCTAGCTCCTTACATAGCCATTCTTGGTACAATGGGCCAATTTCATCATTGTGCCAGTCTCAGATATGCCCTTCTGCCTCATCTTACACCTTTTCTCCATATTTGATCACCAACACTCTTACTCTCCCAAGTTAACAGTCCTTGTTGCCCTACTCTGTTTTCTCAGACATCTTCAGTGACCCTACCAACTTTGCCCTTGCTTCCACAGTTAGTCCTAATCTGCATCCTCCCTGATGTGGTAAGAAAGTATGTCTCCCTTCCTTCCCACAAAGCAGTTTCCAGCCAAGCTGCAGTCCTAATCTCATCCTTCAGACATTCCAAATGCAAGTTCCCTCTCCCACTGCAAGCCTCCCAGTCGTTACGTCTCCTTGCAACTTGCAAGTGTTTTCTGTCAAAATTGTTCCACACACTAGCTGGTTCCCTGTCTTTTACCCTCTGCATAAACCTGTTGGGTTCTGACTCACATCCTAGAGCGCTTTAGGTTCAGGTGGCATCCAGCAGTAAAAGGGATTTAATCAAGTTCAGACACAGTGCAAGACAGTAAGAATCTTCTGGGAAAAATATTTCATGTGAGATTAATCTATTCTTGGCCAAAATATTTAAGACAATGGTTTAAACCCTATCATCACTGTTGAAACCATCATTAGGCAGCGTTCAGTTCTAATACTGCAAAGCAATCACAGAGTCAAAATCGAATATACTTCATCTATCATCAGCCTATAAGCTTTAACCCTTTCACTCTTTATATTTTTAGCTTTTTTGTTTGGGTTTTTTCAATTTATGCTGCAGAAACCTTGGAAGTAGGAACAAATTTCAAACCAGTAATTAATATTTTTCAGAGGTTACCAAAGATTTGTGGATATGAACAGTCACATAAAAACCTGCTCTGGATTAGAGCATATGACTGAGCAGAAGGAGGAGGACAAGAAGCTTCATGACACTGATATCTCCTTTCAGCATTTCAACAACCTAGGGTTTCTCTTGCTGTCAAAGGCCAAAATCCAAATTCCCAGTCCTGCTAGCAGAAATCCATAAGTGAAAAAAAGTTTGTAGTTAGCAGACTGAGTGGGAAAATATAATTAGAATATTTAGAAACATGACAAACCTAACAGTGACTAAGCCTATACTAATCGTTTAATCATTTAAACATAAAAATTCTGTGCTCAAGTCTGTCTCCTACACTTGTTTTAATTTTGGATCACTTCATTAGATGCAAGGCTCATTTAACTTGTACATATTTCGGAAATATGCCCATTTATCAAAGATTGTCTTAATAGTATTTGCATGTGGGATGCATGCTATTAATTAAAACATTATTTCAGCTGACCAAAGCTTGCCTCTTTAATGCATCGCTTATAAAGAATGCAGTAAATCTTTCTCCCCCAAACTGGAGAAATCTATATTAAAAAGCATTTATGAAGGCAAGGAATTATTTAACAGCCATGAGACTTATTGACTCTCAAGACTTGTTCCTTAAAAATGCAGCTCTGTCTGAGCCCTGCTTCTTGCTCTGACACAGAAATTCTTTAACCATGGGTATGGTGGTTAGTTTCTCATGTTCCTCATCTACCACATGAGGTGGACACAATTTTCCAGTACTGCTGTGCTGCAGTGGACTCAATTTATGTGTGTGTGTGTGTTGGTTGTTTTTGTTGCTTGCTTTGGCTTGGTTTGTTTGGGTTTTTTTGCAACAGACTACAAGCTACAAAATTTCCAGATAGAGAATGCTGGGGAAATTTAAAATCAATTATTTTAATGCAAACAGCAGGGAGTAAAAAATGAATCTTCTTCATTTTGCAATCATGGGTCTCGGGGTCTTAGGGAGGGCGGTGTACAGAAATCTGTTCCTGAGACAATTATATACTAAGTGGTGCATAGTCTCTGCTCTTTGTCTTTTGACATATATGATCAAAATGTCTTCTAACTCAAGTAAAAATTTGGTTGTAAAACCTGCAATGTGACAAAATGTAATGTGTCAATCATACACAGATCTAAAAGTTCTCATAGAATTACAATAAAAGAAACATTATATAACTTGGTTGCAACCTAACATGAAGTTAGATTTAACTGCTGGTCATCTGAAATTATGATTTGTATTTATCATTAATTTAAAAAAATGTTGCTCTGTAAAGAGCACAATCAGTTATGCAATTCCCTGAAGAAAGATACAAATTTGCTCTAACTGAACTCTGAACATGATGAGAAGCCAAGCATCATTTTGGGGCAGAACAACACCTCAGCTAATCCATCCCATCTCACAGCAGAACTAATTGAACTAACCATAGACATACAACTTCTGATTGGAGAGGAGGTGAAATCAGCATGTGTCTGCCTGCAAAACACCAGGTAGACTCAGTAATTAATAAAAAGTCAACTGAAATTATAGCATACATCTTGATGGTGTTTAAAGTGGTTACTTAAGGGTAGGGAAAAGATTAAGACCTCTTTAGAGCAGGCTGCTTGTCTTCTTGACAAAACTAGCTGACAGGCTATCTTATCATTGAAGGAGCCTTTGTGATCTCTAGGTGAATAATCTTTGCTTTCTGATAATCCTTCCCCATACTTTACCTTTCTTTGCAGCACTGAAATTTATTTTTTGCAAAGAAGGAAGAGCAAGAAGAAGAAACCTTTGTATGCTGTCAAAGTAACATCACCTAAAGTTACAAAAACTGTGATAGTCAGCACTACAGAGAAGTGGTGAAGGCCCCATCCCTGGAAGGGTTTAAAGCCAGGTTGGATGTAGCTCTGAGCAACCTGGTCTAGTAAAAGGTGTCCCTGCCATGGCAAGAGGGTTGGAACTAGATAATCTCTGAGGTCCCTTCCAACTCAAGCCATTCTATGATTCCACGATTATCCTGAAGAGCAAAAAGTTGTTAGAATTAGTTTTGAGCTGTTGGAAGCAAGTTTCAGCATTCAACAGTCTTAAGTAAGGCCATATAGAACAAAGTCTCCACAAAAATCCCTTGGTTTTTAATTCATGTTATTAGATTAAATTATGCTCAAAAACCTGCTACAGATTAGAGTCTACAGAGTCTTATGAGACCCTTTCTAGCCACCTCAATCCCACATTTATGCATGGAGACCAATAGTTACTCCCAAGCCTTTTCCCCTTTTCAGTTCTTTTGTCCTCCCCTCTGCTCCCTATCTCTTTCATTCCCTTTATACCACTTGTAGAGCAGAAGACATTTAAATTTAATGGTGAACATTACCAAATGGTAAAGCACTAGAATTTGTGATATTAGCATAGACCCATGCTGCCTTATATGAATTATAACAGAGTCAGAGCAAGGATGAATAAGGAAAAAAAAGAAAGGCTACCAAGCTTGAAGGAAATTTCATATCAGAGCCAAGTTTTCACTTTAAAATTCTAGATTTAATGAGGATTTTAAATGTAATTTTAAAAAGTTATATGAAATCCTTTATTCTGAACATCACCTGAAGTATTCATTGGCAAAAACCAAAGGGAACATAGTGTAATTTTGTTTAAAATTGTTATTTTCTGCCCTCAAAGAGCATAGAACCACATTAATATAAAACCCAAATAATATATGTAAAGATACAGCCGAACTTTTGTTTTCCAAAGGAAAATTCAAGGACCATATACTTCTCCATCTTATGATTTCTGAAACTTACTGTTTTCTTAAAGCTTCAGCTTGGGAAACCATAGAATTACACATGAATCCTTTCTTTCAATGCCCTCAAAAAAAAGTTAACATTCGTTACATGTTTTTGTAGTGCTTCAGGACTGGCAACACCGTCTTTGCCACAAAAAAAAAAAAGAAAGGCCTTGATGACTGGAAATTTCATGTGTGATTTTTGAAGTGATTTGTTTTTCAAATATACAGCATCATCAAATTTAGCACTTTCATCCTATAAGAATACAGACAAATATTTTCTGGCTCATTTTCTACTGCCTGAGATACAGTCTGGCCTTAGGATTTGAAGTAATTTCAAGGCCCAAACCAAAATTCAATTAAATTCCACTAAATACCACATGCTTTCCTGTCAAAAACATGCAAAGTCAAAAGAAATTCACCCAGACATGAGACTAAAATTGAAATGAAACAACTTCAATCAGAACATAAAAACTTTCTGAGGTTTTTAAAATCTTGCATGCTTTTTATCACTGACTTGATAAATATAATTTGAGCTTGACCACTCTGAAGTGTGGTTGGGGTATAAATGTTACTCCTGAATAAATCTGCATTATGCTGCAGCAGCTACATCCAAAGTAACAACATCTCTTCTAGTTTAAAACCAAAATAAGGTCTAGTGGTACCTCCATCTTTATATGATTGTGAGATGACTACAATGGCCAGGCACCTCAGCTACCTTTGCCTCTGTTTTCCTTGTGGTTACAGGTGGTCAACAACTCTTTAACATGAGTAAACTGCTGTAGCATACTCTGAAATAAAGCACTAAAAATTTGAAAAAATATTTTTACTTCTCACTTGCCCAATAAACACATCATATTGTAATGGCTGACACTTTCCTGCAGAAGTCTTATCAAGTTCGTTACTGTATGGACAGAAACCCCATGGTCCTCTTTCACTAATCTAAGCTTGACTTCCTACTTAAGCTTCTTATTTCTAGTAAATCTTAGTGCTTATTTATTTTCTATTAAATATTATATAGGGGATCTCATTCTGTCTAAATCTAGCGTAGATAAGACAAATTTTCTAGTAAGTTTTCCTCTTGCTTCATTCATCTTACCAGCTCGGAGAACCCAGTTTATTCAGAAAACCCAAACAGATTCCTCTCTAGCATGTATTTTCTCTCTCATTGGCTCAGATCATGACATCAGTAATGTAAGTTAAAACTCAGCTCATAACAGGTGATGTAGTTTCATGTACATACGTGTGTGAATTCAATACATGGCTATTAATAAAACTGAGTTCACCCTGCTGTAGGCAAACAGTAAGGCACTGTGGAAACAAGCTGTACCAAAGTCACCATGTAGAACACAAAATGAAAAGTGGGAGCAGTTGTGTAAGAGGAAAAGTAATTGGGTGTTGAAATAGTATTAAAGTCCTGACTTATACATACCCTCATAATATTTTATTTCCCTTCCTCTTGCCATAACAGATCTAAACTAATACCTACTGTGTAGCTTTACTTCGTCACCTAAGCCCATTTTCTTCTATAGACACATCCTTACTCAATGAATCATGTACTTGAGACTGAGACTTTTATTTCCAGCTAAGTCAAGAAGACACCTGCTTTAACACAGTGTGTTGATATGTGTGTGTAGTCTTCATGTTCCTTAAGGCAAGTATTCCTTTCACTACCAAACCCAGAAGCAATTGTTGCAACAAAGACACCAGAACATGCACTCTTTGGAAAATTCTGACTTTAACTGCCTCATTGGCAGCAAAGTTTCTTAGAAAATACAATATGCCCACATAAGGTGCAGTCATTTTAAAGCTTGTATTCACACAACTGCCAAGGTCACCACAAACAAATGAGTCCTAGTTGCCCTGCTTATAATTTACATTTATTTCCTGATTACCTCACAAATGACTCATAAGTTACACTGTATCTCTCACCACTGATTTTAACCTAGACACTTCTGTGGGTTACAGACCACTAAGCCTAAAATTTAGGTCATAGCTTAATAGCCATATTACAGTCTGCACAGTGCTCATACCTGCACAGAATTCTACCTCACTTCTCACTCCAGAAACACCAAGGGCCACATCAGGGCCTCTCCTCTCTTTAAAAGCTGGTTATTACAAAGAACTGGCTTATGAAATTTACTTAGAAAAATATATACAGGTACATAAAAATAAAATAGCTTCAGAATTTAGAACTTTAATAATGAAGCCAAAGGCATCCTGGGAAGGCATTAGAATCTATTGCATTTTAAAATAAACAACCTATCTTAATGAACTGGGAAGCCAAGAGGAAAGTTATGTTTCATGGATAAAATAGAAGAAAGCCATCTATAATTTGTCTTAAACAAGAATGACAGGCAGAAAGATGTCTAGAGTTAATAGCTCCACAAATATATATTGCATCCTAAAAGATTTCAAGGTAAGCATGCAAAAGCATTTCTGTTGACTCTTAAAAATGTTTTGCCTAAAAAAGTATTTTACCATTTACTTATTTGAAAGGATACATTAAAAAAGAAAAAATTCCACAGGGAGAAAAAGAGATATTACTTCTAAATTAGAAGATGTATGCTCTTGATACTCCCAGAGTTTGAAGCACAGGTGTGAGTTGTATTTATATTAGGTCATGATTTTGAAATGACAAACAGCTAGGACTGTGCAGGTCATTGGTGCATCTGAAGTTATAAATATACACACACCTTTGCAGGTCTTATTAAGCAAACTCAGTATTGAATTGCTGCAAAAGACATTTACATTTACTTTGAAATGCTTGCCTAGCCACAAATGTCTATTTGCAAATTAATACTAATGCTGTCATAAAAATAAGCTGAGAAGACCTTAAATCAAATCAGAAACCTCTCAAAAGGGTTATTTTGAAGTCTTCCCTAGTGAAATGGACAAGAAAGGAAACCTTGTTTTGCTGCTTTGACTGTCAATGAAAGGTTTACTATAACAGCATTGTTGCAGCCTGACAAATGCTTACTGTTGCAATGCCTTAGTGAATAATTGTAAGTGTTTCCATCAGGGTAAAGATGCTAAAATACAAACAAAATTAAGTGCCTAGAGGAGGAAAGGAGGAACATGAATTTATCAAGACTGCTAGTGATTTATGAGAAGTAATGATTACGAGGCCCAGGCAGTGTGAAGAGATGATTCTATTTATCATTTTCCCCCTGATAGCTATGTGCTAGAAAGTGGCATCAATATATCATCAAAATATTAAGCTGGTGGCCCTGCAGTCTGGAATTTATTTAGGGAGATGTCATTGTTGCAGGTGTCTGTGATGGAAGGGAGGACAAGTTAATTACCTCTTCACCAATCTGGATCTCGCGGACAGAGCGCAGTAAAAGCTGGAATCCTTCAAAAACGATCACGCAGTTTGGGTCACAGCTGTGGTTCAGTAAAGACATGCTGTGAGGGGTGGTAGAGGGGGAAAGAGAGAAAAAAACTTAACAGAGGAGTCGTCACTGCTATTTCCTTTTAATCACGTAAAAGTAGCTAACATGATTACACCTGAAGTATCAAGCAATTAAGTTACAAAACAAAATCCCTGGTAAATCAGCAGCTCTTGGTTAGGGGAGGAGAATTAATGTTTTGAAGATTTATATTCACTACTAATAGGAGCCATGCCTGGATATCTTCATGTGTTTCTGCCTTCTTTGTCCTCAGGGTGGGAGGGAGGCAATGGCCTCCCTGTGACTCTCCGAGAGACCTGAGTCAGGGGAGAGGGCAAGTGGGGAATAAAGTAACCTGGACAGTTCAGAGGAAAGGTACCTCGGGACTGACATATTTCTACTGCTTCTGCTCAGTTTCAGGGCTCTAACCTTATCAGTTACCTGGCTGTCATTGGAACCTCAGCTCAAAGGGGACAATAATCAACCTCTATTTCATATCAAGAGAAAATGGAGTATACTAGGTCCCAAAGTCAAAGAACTTGGCATGTAGAGCTGAAAGAAGAAACACAGCCATTGCCTCTGTTTTACGCATTTTTTGGTCCAGCCTCTGTTCTTGTGGCCTGTGACAGCTGAAGCAGCACAGCTCTTTGGGGAGCTGCTGCCACCCTCAAGAGACATATACGCTGCACAAACATGCCCTTCCCTCTTTTTGAAGGAAGCTGTTAAGGACAACATGCACTATACATTTTTGAGTCACATGTTTCATTAGCTGAGAAACAACTGACTTTGTGAGGCCAACATCAGTCCCATAGCAGAAGTGGGGCTGATGGTTCTTCCCCTATGGGAATGACTCATTGAAAGAATAATTATGGCATCATCAAGCTGGAAAAAGAATTTTTTGCTTATCCAGCTCCTAGTTGCATTTATTTGCTTTCCTTGTCTCCTGAGTCAGCAACTCAAAATCCCAACTGTTGGCAAAACAGAGCATGTTGCCGAGGGTCAGAGCCCTGCATCAAACCATGTTTATTCACTTTTTGATTCTTAAAAGAGGTATCAACAGGAGCCTTGATCTTTCAATATCCCTTTTAGCCTAGTATAATATCTGTGGTTAATCTCCACAAGAACCTGGTAATGTATGCTGGGAAAGAGCATCCATTATATTTATTGTGAGATCACTGGCCATCCTCCCAAAGCTGCTGGCAAGGAGATGTAGAGCAGGACTAGGGGATTTTGTCTAAAATATATTGGGATGATGAAACTATCAAGCCACACAACAATATACAACCTCCTAAAGAGACTAAACAAAGTACTTTTAATTTAATTTCATCTCATAGAAGCACTAGTGTTTTTGACAACAATTTCATCTGGAAGCAGATGAATTCATCTGTGAGGACATTTGCCCAGGACTTGTGAACTGCAGATTTCAGTCCACAATTTTCCCAGCTCAGAGTGATTTGAAACAGCAAAACTCAAACTGCTCTGAAGTGACTTGAGGAAAGAGTTCATCTCTTGGCAGTGCATTATCATTGACCACAGACAGATACTTTCTTGACAGTTACGGGCCTTTCTCAACCAAACCCAAACATTTCACTAATAATAATGTTCTAAAATAATATTTCATTTTTCTCAAGTATGTGAAAGTATTTGTTTCCATTCAACTATGAAATCAAATTACTGTTTTGCACTGTTCATAACTGCTAATTCCCATGGCCCCACTGCATTATCATTGACCACAGACAGATACTTTCTTGACAGTTACGGGCCTTTCTCAACCAAACCCAAACATTTCACTAATAATAATGTTCTAAAATAATATTTCATTTTTCTCAAGTATGTGAAAGTATTTGTTTCCATTCAACTATGAAATCAAATTACTGTTTTGCACTGTTCATAACTGCTAATTCCCATGGCCCCACAGACACCTTTCCCTTATTTATACCACAAAGCAGGCCTCAAGATGTTAAGTGTCCTTAGTCAGATCTTACATGTGTGACATTGGTAGGAAAATAAACAACAGTGACAGCTTCACTGAGGTATTGACAACATAGTTCAACAATGCATTAACCAAAAATGTAGATAGCAAAATGTAATTTTAAATGATAAATACTAATTTTCCATACTAATGATTACAGGGAACTAATTCTATGAAGGCAAAACTTTCACTGGTATATTCTTCTTATCTAATACAAATAAGAAATAATAACAAGGAATTCAAATAGTAACATCCATCTTTCAAGGAACATATCTTTTCACCTTACTGTTTTCTTTGTTATGGCAGTTTACTAATAAACATATTATATTTTTTCTTTTAATTGCCAGTTCTGAAGGCTCTCAGCTGCAAAATATCTGTATTCTAAAGCACCACTGAACAGGTTTCCTTTAACTAGTCCCAGTCACACATTTTTGAAGGCAACATTTATTCTGACTTAGAAAAGAATGCCACTTCCATAAAAATAAAATATAAAGATGAATCTTATTAAAACTGTTTTACCTCTGTAATCACGACTATTAAGAATATTTACAACTAGATCATATTTTTTATTTTCCTTTAATTTATTTGCATTTCCCAGTTTCTTGTTTAGACATGTTACCTGCTGCTTTGATGGCCCTTACAGCTACCTTGCAAAAGATGAAAAAAAACTAACATAGATTTTGCCTGTGAATGAAACAGTGTCCACAGTACCTGGGATATAGGCCAACACCAACATCCTGCATCTCTCCATTACTGATGGTGAAACAGTTACAGGTCACCTGTAAAAACAAGGGAAAAAAATACAGGATTACCAGAACCATTTGGAAACCCCATACTCCAGTTAAAAAACCTTCCAAAATAAAATGAAGGGGCGATTGGTAATTGAATGGGAAACATTCAAGCCCAACACTGGTGCTCTTTCATTTTAAAGCAAGCACATCTGGGGCACACTCTCCTGTAAAACTGCTGTCAATTAAACCCAGAAATATTAGTATCCTGCAAAAATGTGGGGTTAAACACATGCAGAGACCCTACTTTCCTGTCCAGAGAAGGGAAAAAAAAAGCCACCCTACACAGAGCCAGAGAAGCTCAACCCAGAAACAACTAACACAACTAACAGATGACAGCGACTTCTGATGAAAAGAGTTTCCATGCAGGGACTCTGCTGATGCCAGGCTGTCACAGCACCTTTTAATGCGTAGTAGTGGAGCCCAAAGAATAGATATGGGACAGTTTTGAAGTAAAAAGCAGCCTTGGTTGTGGCAACCTGATCCAGGCATAAATAAATACTAAGACTGTACAATAACCTATCTTTGACATTATGGGTATTTTGATTTGCATGTACAAGATCCCACCAAAAAGGCATGTTCAAACTGCCATTCAAGAGAAATATAACCTTTCCTTTAATCTCAAATATTCAGCCTGAAAGTGTATTCTTCCCTCCTACAATCACACAAAGCTAAAGTGGTTTTAGAAAAGAGTGGAGAAGAAGAGAAGATGCCTGCAAGCAGATATACCACTACCCTAAACTATCAGACTGAAGATTTTTGGTGTTCAAGATATATCAATATGTAGCAAATGATTAGCAAGTATTTTCATGGCCTTAAACAAAAAGCAGAACCCAACTGTGAATGCTTTTTTAAAATAATAGATTTTTTTGGAAATGAAAAAAAAGCATGTTTTTTAATTTATTTTTGAGATTTGTTGTCAGTTATCAATGACATACTAACAAAATATTTTATTTCAAAAAGTGCTACATGATACTGTATTGACAAGAGAAGTCTCAGGTCTCTTCTGCATAACATCGGATTATTAATATAATTAATTCTCATTAGAACAGAAAATGACTTAGAGTGTAATTTGGCAGACACAGAAATGAGATTTGAAAGTTGCAGTTTTATCCACAGAGTAATTGTCCAGAACAGTAAATGCACACCTATGTTTTAAAGAGGTACACTGAACAATTTAATAGTACAACTTATCCCACAAAGTGACAAATTATTATTTATGAGAGCATTAACCATAAGGTGAAAATGAAATCCTCTTTCAAAATTTCTCATAAATTCTGACAGGAACATTAATTTAAATAAATGTACAAGCAGTAGGGCATGTGCTTTTAGTAAATCGTTAGACAATACTTTGATTAGTCTATTATTTATGTAACCCATTCAAATGTTCCTGATCAATTACCAAATGCATGCATCTTAATTATTTCTTTCCTGCTGGCATTGGATATAAAGTGTCAGACAACTTCTGAGCAAAGATTAGTCCATTTAAAGTGGCAATTATCCTGGTTCTAAAAATATTGACTCGATTTTGGTATTTATTGAAAAAATAACGCCTTCCAGGTAAACCAGACAGAAAGCCAGCTTTGGTGAACTCTAACTCTCTCTAATGGATCGTGAAGTAGCAGAGGTCAAACATCTCTTAGAACTAAATTAACTCCTCTTTCTTGCAAATCTCTTCTAGTACCATAAAACTTGTTTATTAATAATATTTAATTCTGATCACCACCGAGTTACAGAGGCTGTTTCATAATTTTCTATTAAAGGTATGTATTTTATTATGTGAAATGTTTTACACACAGAAGTCACCATAGTTTTACTTTTTCCTTTTTGTAAACATGCATTACTTTTTCGTATCAGGACATATGTGAAAAATGTGAGAGGAATGGATAAGCTGAGACTCAGACATCAAGAGATACTTTCAAGAGTAGTTCTCTGTGAGGCATTTTTTAACCTCTCTGTTTTAGATATTTTCACAGTATGCAGGTGCTTCTCAATATCCCAGTGAGGTAGTGAAATGCCATCTAGTTTCTATTTATTTTCAGTTTCGAATATAAGACTGAGAATCCCAAGTATACAGGGCCAGATCTATAAAAGTATTTAATAAACAAACACAGGCAGAAGCCTAACTGCTTTCATGAATTTTGAGCCACATCATTTTGCACACAATTGTACCAGAGGCATAAGAAGTTTTCAGGTGCTCTGGGGTTTATTTAACCTCCTAGGAAACAATCTTTCTCCCCTTTTAAACTCAGGTATGAAAAAACCAATGGTGATACACATATAATGCAGACTACAAGTAATAACCTTAGTTATGGCTGCCTTTTGTGCTCAGCAAGTGGAGAGAGAGGAGCTGAGATTAGGGTGGTGAGAGGAGGATGATCTTGCCATTTACAGTGTGAGAAATTGTGATATAATGACACTCCTTCACAGACAGTTAGCATCTTGCAGCAAATATCTAATATGAAACAGCCATAGTCTGTCACCAGAGGATGGGGCTGTTTTTTTTGTTTTCTTTTAGATTTGTTACATTCTCTAAAATCTACTGAATCAATTCTACATTTCTATTTTCATTTATATAAACTTTTAAATCTCAAAGATCAGTCCTACCAAGGGGAGTTCAGAGATTTCCACACAGGATTGATGTAGACCACACCTCCCAAGAAACAAAAGGATGAAGGCATTTCTTTTACAGAACACCCAAAGAAAAATCAATTTTCCTAGCTTCCTAGGGCTCACAGATGTAGCACAAATAACAGCTAAATCTGAAGTATCTAATATTGCTGCAGGAGATCATGAGTAAGCTGCTGGTTCCTGAGGCAATTGTTTACAGAACGAAACCTACCAGGACTGGAAGTTAGCTAACTCTTTTTCTAGGGAAAAAAACCCCAACAAACAACAAGGCAAATCAAATAAAATTTTCTTCATGCATCACAGTATTTCTTTCAAGGTTCATGGTCACCTTGTGCTATATTTTTTCTGCCTTAATCGACCAACCTTGTTCCTTATGCTACAACCAGGTTCTGATTCTGTGTGAACGCAGATTTTAAAATAAGAAAAAGAAACAATTCTCAGCAATTGAGTGCCTCAATAAGTATATTCTTCCATACAAAGGCATGTCCCTTGTCGTCTTAACTCCTGGAGAATCATTTGTCTCAGTAATTTAATTTGTGCCTGTCCCTTCTGATTCCTCTAAAAATTCCTCTCTATCCAGCCATGAATCACTAAAACTGCATATCCACATATAGAGGCAGAACAGAGTACTCACAATTTGTTAAACCCACAAATAAAGAAAATTGCCACATATTTCAGAACTTCAAAGTTGCAAAGACAAATTCTTTGCCCTTTCTAAAATTTCTGAACTAACACATCTCCCAGCATGAGAACCAAGGGAAAATTCTCAGGGGAGAATCACAAACTTGTCAAACCTCCACAATGCAAATCTTAGAGGTATCCTAAAGTTCTCAAGGCTTACCATCATAGCCTGATTGGCCATACAGCTCAGCAACAGTTTAAAGAGTCAATTCTCAGTGGTTTTGGCTCCATGGCAATAAACCTTGCAAGTTTATTTAAAAGGAACTGCTATTTCAAAAAAAATAATATTAGAGAAACTGATTGAATTAAATAAAAAGATTTGTTCGAGAGGCTGCACATATTTTAGAGAGGTATCCTGTACTCGGTAAAGTAACCCAAGTAGAAGACATTACCTTTCCTAGACTGGTAAACACACAATGAGTAAACCAGATTTGCTTACTGGCCAATATTCTCAAGCATACCTTATCATCAAACAAAAATTATTGCAACCTGTTAAATCTGATTTCCTCTCTGAGTGACTAATGAAAGCTCTGCAAATTTACCCTGTAAAGAGGTCACTGTTTACAAGATGTCTGGAGCTACTGTCTGAGCAATCTCTGTCTGTGCCAGACTCACAGTCTAGTGGACAGTCATGAAGATTTATTTCAGTGTTTGCATTTGACAGAGTATGAAGGCTTTGGTCTGGCAACATAACAAGTTGAATTTGCTTTCAGTTCAGACTTCCTTCATATTGCTTTGTACTAAGGATTTGCCTTTGAGTTAAATAAAGCAGAATTAGGCTTGATAGCAGGACATTCCAGATTTGAAATTTTGGACACTAAGACAATGAAATATGTCAATAAGAGAGTAAGGGAAAGAAAACAAATCATTATTGGCTAACGCTTGCTGCACCGATCAAATTGCAAACACCAGGGCCAATAATCAATCATTTTGTCCCCACGTGCTCCTGTCCATTACTGCAACATAGTGAAGCAGCTCTTATAACATGTGTAAGAAACCCTCACAAGAAGGACTCTAGCCATCTCTATAAATGGTGTGTTACAGCTGGTGTATTCTAACCCACCACCAGGAAGAAAGCCATAACAATTTTCCCTCTAATTTATGACCTCAATGTAATGTAAATTAAATATATATAAAAAAACCCACTTCATGGATTATTAAGTTTCTCATTCACACCAAGGCTGGCTTTGGGTATTGCTGGTCATTGGCAAATATTTAACAAAAGATGCTGCAAACAGTTCTCATGTTAACAGGCTTCTCAAGAGACTCAAACATTTTTCCAGGAGTAAGGGTTGAGTAGTAATGCTATGTGAGGGGTACATTAACTCAAATGACCAAGGTATACCCCAGAGATCTTCCAGTACCACAACATCCCACTATAGCTCTGCACTGATAGCTCTTTCCCACTCGAGGATGAGCAGATACCAGGGACAGATGGTTGATAGATCTCAAACCTGCTAATGACTTCATTTGGCAGTCAGAGCACCAGAGCTAAACCGTAAATGCACAGTATGCCATGGCAGAACCAGACCTGTCAAGCCCCTGTTTCGAGTGTATTTCACTCAGCTGCTCGTGCCCATGGATTATGACACCCAGGCTTCCTACTCAGGAAGAGCTTCTTGCTCTGAAACCTCAGGTCTGTCCGTGGTGGGAAGGCATCTGCTATCTGAACACTGTGCACCTTTGACAACTAGACTGTTGTGGCTTATATATACATGCAT